CATTGAGGCTGATATTGTGTTTGGAACTTGTGAACGTTATTGTTGGTTTTATAAAATTGTAATTTTTTGTTTGTATGAAAACTATGTTGGCGATGATTAGTTTGTATTGGTTCTCGTTGTTTTTACTGTAATTTAGTAGTTTAATATTTAACACCATTTGGATATTACTTTTGCAATATTACTTTGAAATATAGAACACCTACAATAGACAATAATCTTTATTGACATGTTCGTTGAGAACAGTACATGCGTACATGCCATTAATCTACAGTGTTAATGGTTCAAGTACATAGCAACCTACAGTGGAACAAGTTTTATGTTCAGTAAATTAAGACAGTGTTTTACACTTTTTTAAACGTACAGAATTTTATTGTATTTTAGAGCAGTTATGCTTCAAACTTACTACTAGGGGGAGAAACATGTTCCTGGCCGATAGACTGATAGGGATTACATAATTCTTTGGAGACAAAATTATCTAAGATCTTTTAAAAGGCTTAGTGAAGAAGGCAGGCCAATTTACTAACAAGAAGAAAATATGCAAATAATGGTCTCACAAAGAATAAAAATTGGATCGATGGTCAAAAGTAGAAAATATGCTTTTCTTAAAGTACATTCAACTAGGTGTCAAAATCCAAGAAGTAAGAGCAGGCGAGTAACAGAGTGTATGTGTTTTGCATACTAAGTCGGGTAGAACACTTTTGTTCTTCTGTGAAGTCTAATGTATTCCTTAAAAATGAAAAATCAGACCTCTTCTTTATTAGCTGTGATGATGTAAGGAGAAACCAGCTCATCTTCCTACCCTATCCACTTCTACTATCCTATCCAAAGTGTACCAAAGGGCCAGCGAGGATTATTTACCGGAATGGAATTTCTCAGAGAAGGATAATGCCTACAATTCACATTACATAATTTTGTGTTAACATTTTTTATAGTAAAATAGGCTAGGCCAAGCCGTTATGTGTTATTGTTTTGTTAAATGGTAAATTAGCGTGTGTCTAACACAAACTAAACCCAATAAATTAAATTGAGTTTTATGTCTCTTCAGTTTCTTCCAAGCATCTAAATTCTATACGAGTGGATCAAAGGGTGGGTCAATCACCACCAGTGACAATCGCTACCAGTCGGGTTTGTAATTGTTGCGAAAATAGTGGGATGCTGGTTTCATCCTGCAAATGAGTTGGAGCCGCCGCGTTGTCTGTCTACAGGCACCGCGAAAAAAGGACCAACAATGACCGTGAGGGGGGACGTGGTTGTATTATACGAATGATGAGCTATTGGATAACCTCTTATTAGGAGTATTTATACCCAAAACTGATAAATCCACTAAAAACTCAATACTCAAAAATTTTGACAAACACATTCTCCATATTAGGGAAAGAAAGTAAATAAGAGTGTTTCTCAACTGTCCACCTAGACCTTAGGACCACAGCCACCTCTAATACATGTATTAGAGGTGGCTGTGCTAGGACCCATGACGATTTCATCAATAGCTTCGTTGAGAAATATCAACCATGTACAACACCGTTTGTTGACAATCCCCCATCGCATCTTGTGAATTCATTTGTTCTGGACTACATGCATATGATATTCTTGAAAGTTATCTTACAAACTCCAAGTATTCATCATCTTAGCACAAGCGGCTTCGCAGCAGGATTGATGTTGCAACATGAAGTGCCAAAAAATGTTAATACTGGTCATTTGACAAACCCCCTTTTAAAACAACCGGGCATTGGTACATGAAAATAGTTCTTAGTTCAATGGCCTTCCATTGTTTGACTAAATGTATTTCTCTTGGCTTTCTAAAAAAGTCTAAAGTCATACATGGTTCCATCGACAATAACTGCTCATCAATTATATTTCATGGGAATGTTGCCAGTTTATTAGGACGTGGTCCTTTAAACCATATGAAAAGAAGAGTTCTAAAAACTTACTCAAAGGAAATACCTTATTTCTTAGTTCTTTGATTGATGGAGTAGTAAATAAAATTTGATAGAATTCTTTACGAGAGCTTTAAAATATTGGAAAGCCATCACTTAAATAGTAGGTTAATACAAATATCTCCTTAAAAGCAAGATTTAGGAAAACTTAAAAACTGTAAAATGTACATTTATTTATTTTTGCACTCTTCAAAATTATGTTAAGGACAATTCTAGTGTTTGTGTCAGTTTTTATCAAAGCTTAGTAATATTAAAAAAAAGAAAAAAAACATTTTTTTTACCCCGTTCGATGTTGGGTTTCTGAAATTACCAAAGTAAAAGGGGATAAAATTTCAATAAAAAATGTTTAAAACTCAAGTTTTATATTCACATTACAATGGAATAGAATAACAGAAACATTTCAAATTATTTATCTAGACAAGAATTTCATGTCCTTTATTGTCTTTAGTAGGCTATGTGAACATCTCCTTGTACAAATTCAAATACTCTTCAGGGATGTACTTCCTGGACTTCTTTATAGCATCTAGTATAAGTTAGGTGCACGAATTTTAGAACAGAAAGTTTGTGAATCATAAATATAGAAAAATGGAGTCACTCGCCTGAATATTAATATTATTTAACAATACTTAAATGGAGCTGTCAACCCATATTTTTATGATCTAAAATGAGTCTATTCTAACATTTTTGAAATGCTGTAATAATATTTTACTCAACCCGCCATGTTAAAGTTCCCTATCCCAAGCGTGACGTAGACAACTTCTTTACTTCGCGAGTGAAGTAAAGTTTAAAAAACTCAAACCCATTTAAATAACATTGAGCATTCAGTTCTTTTAGTTATTTTTTTCTACTAGCCTTTACATTTAAAATTAAAAACAACAGCTGATCAATGTTAATCAATTCATAATATTGTAAAAATGTAACAATGACTTGATTAATTTTCCCTTATAATTTTAATTTATTATACACAAACACTACATTATTCAATGAAAGTCTTAGACCATCTGTAAACGTCCACACATCCGGATGAGGAAGCCCAATTTCTTAAAACATAGTTCTTAGGTAAGCCTCTAGGTCATTGTTGGTCCTTCTACGCTGCCTGTAGACAGACAACGCAGCGGGTCCAACTCATTTGCAGAATGAAACCAGCATCCCAGCACTTTCGCTTCATTAAAAGTAGCCTTAGCAGCTGCTTGAAGGGCTACTTCAAAATCTGTGACAATTGTTGCTGGATTCAATGAAGGGTATCTTTGCTTGATATAATTCAAAAAACAGTCATAGGAACTTTGTGTTTTGCGTTCCATTAGCACGCTGGAGACAGGAAATGCATGGCCATAGTCATGCAGCCATCACAGCAGCTAGTATGATTTTGGTTGACGTGGAACAATTTTAAAGGTTCCATCGAGATGAATCTCATTCATTTCCGCCAATAGTCTAATGAATGTGGGTGAAGAGAAAATTACATTTTTATCTCCATTTGCGTCTTGTATTGTGTCTTCGTTAAAAGGAAATTCATGGCCATAGTGGATAGCCATCAGAGTCAGCAGCTGGTATGATTTTGGCTGGAGTGGAACAATTTTAAAGGTTCCATCGGAATCTCATTCATTTCCGCCAATAGTAAAATGAATGTGGGTGAAGAGAAAACAACATTTTTATCTCCATTTGTGTTTTCTATTGTGTCTTCCTAAAAAGGAAATGCATGGCCATAGTGGATAGCCATCACAGTCAGCAGCTAGTATGATTTTGGTTGACGTGGAACAATTTTAAAGGTTCCATCGAGGTGAATCTCATTCATTTTCGCCAATAGTCCAATGAAAGTGGGTGAAGAGAAAACTACATTTTTATCTCCATTTGCGTCTTCTATTGTGTCTTCGTAAAAAGGCTTCCCTCCAATTGTTAGGCCAAAGCGAGGGTTTTGCTGAAGAATCTGGCCCTATTCTGCGAATGTCTGAGGTATTCGGTGTTGCAGAGCCCTACGTGCACGATACATCCAAGAGATGATTCTTTTCAAGTGATTTGGTACTCGCTCTTTTTCTTTGGCACCTGGGGGGTGTGTTGAGCCCCTATCACTAATTACTAATCTGCTTAGATGATGGTTCCGTCGGAAGAGGTGGTCCTTGTCAATTTCATCGACGTCATCTATTCCTCCTAACTTCTAGAAGAATTACTAGTATGCTGAAAACACAGATTAAATTAGAAAACTTTCATGTGCCATTGAATTGCTGCAATAAAAATAAACATAATAACATAATTGGTCAGTTAAAGATAAAATATTATGTCCATCACAATAAAGAACCTAATACACTGCATAAAAAGATAACAAAACGTAATAAATTGCACAGGCTAGGATATAATATTATATAAACATAATAAACAACATAATTAATTCATGACATGAACATAACAGTTATCTAATTAATTATTATTATTTTATGACGCATACATGACACTGACAAACATCCAGGTCGTCATGCATTGGTAGCCAATTCCAATGCCGATTCCGAGGCCGATGCCATGATATACAAAGTCTTGAAGGAGTTTTTGCAGTTCCAGACTAAAGACAGTCCAGTTTAGGTTGGTATCACGATTCTTATGCTGCTGAGAATGCTGAGCTAATACACCCATTCCCTGAGGTACTTCGATATGAGGGTCCTGTTGTTATTGTTACAGAGATTCTCCTTCAGCCAATTCCACGCATTCTCTATGGCCTGCGTGTTCACCCTGAACTTACTAAGATTCTTAATCTGTTCAAGCATCCGAACAGTTGATCAAGGCATGTGTCATTGAACCAGGGTGGTGGCTCCAGATGGTAGGCCTGGGTCTACCCGAAATTTTGGTAGATCTTTTAAAATTATTAATAAATAGACATTTAATTATATGTAAATAAAGGAAAACCGTTAAAACTCATTATTGTGAATTTAAATTTTAAAATTCTCCCTTTTTGCGGGGAGTCCCCTCAAACCTCTTGTCCCCGAACAAACTCCTTCTTGATCCTTGTCAGCTCTCCTAAAAAGATTTTACTGGTGCTGCCCCTGCATTGAACCTCCCTCCCCTCAGGCACCTAGAATGGATCATGTTCCTAAGGAAGGTAAACAAGTTGATGTTGTGGCTCACAGTGTCATGTTCAGCAACTCTGTTGTATGCCGCCCTTAGGTCGCTGCAGATCTAGGACTCTTGGTCTGATGTATTGCATGATGGGTAGCAGCGTGTCAGCTGAACGGTCAGGGACTAGATCAGCGAAGATGTTCTTCGTAGTGTTGATGATACTCTTCTTCTTTTCTTTTGTGCAGCAATGTTAATCCCCTAGTACTTTCTTTGTTACTAGTATTTTCTATTGCACAGTACTGGCATTTGGTACCAATTATCTTCTCTTCGTTCCGCTTGTGATACTCTTTGCTGTTGGTGTGTGTTTAACCCTGGTACTTCTCTCTTTTTACCACTACAGTAAGGGAATGTTTGGGATCAAGTTCTTTTCCTTTTTCTTATTTCTTTTCTGATAATGATACCCTTTCCATATAGTATAGGGGGAGACAGTAAAAATACGCCATACACTATATATTCAGAGCAAATACAATACGATACAATACATTGGGACGATTTACTTAAGCTACACCCACTTTGGGTCTGTCCACTGCTCCTGTGTTTGCCTACCCACAATCCTCCGAGCGATGTGTTTTGTCTGACATTTCTATTGTCATAAGCGACATGAATTGAAATCTGACATGTTATTTGAAGGAGTTTCTCAGACATATTTCTTTTTAATCCATGCTTTAAGTGACAATCTTCTCAAGGACTCTAAATAGTGTGACTGAAAAAGACGTAAAGAAAATAATTATTTCTTTTGAAAATAAATTTTCAACGGGATATGACGAAATTTCCATTGATATCATTAAAAAAAAACCTGTTCCTAGTACTATTTTAAAACCACATGTACATTTAATAAATTCCTCTTAAGGTGGTGCAATGATTTTTGGTCATGGTGGAATTTCAAACTTTTTAATAATGTAAGTTGTCAATATAAGGTTTTGAAGCAAACAAATATTTTTTTGGAAATTTTTTTATGGCTACTTTTTTGTTAACAGGTCTTTGAAATAGGCGATTTGGCACTCACTCTTTTGACTTTATCTCAAAAACGGTTTGAGTTAAGAATGTGAAATTTGGGGTATTAATCAATGATATTGTACTACAGGGTCTAAAAGTATTTATGTGTAAAAAAAATGAAAATCAATTTTACGTGCTGCTTTATTTGTAAAATAAAAAATATAAATTATGAGATAATTGAAAAGAAAAATATTTTAGACCAGGAAGTTAAATCTAAGGAATGTATAGGAATTTAATTTATTTTTAAATATTAATATTTGTAGGCTGTAAAGTCAAAAGATATTTCCGCTGTAACGCCCGCACTGCTCAGCCTGCAACCCAGAGCGCTCCGTGCCCCCACCCCTCCTCACTTTCTCCTCCGCTGATGACTCAGCCACGGCGCCGCACCGACCGCACGCTCTCGGCTCGTTGGCGTGTACCCACAGGTTGTGATTGATTGTGTGTGACCCACAGTGTGACACAGGTTATTGTTTGAAATAGTGTAGTGTTGTGTGGTGATAATGTAGCGGTGCTTAGTAGTGCGCTTATGGTAAAGTATACTCAATTCCTCGTTTACTTGTCAGTATAGAGGCATTACGGATGTTTACCCAAATCATTTCCAGTATTTAAAGCAAATTTCCAATTAATTATTAATAATTCTTTTGGAAAACATGCCTATATCTTTATGACGTTTATCCGATATTCGGCCGTCATCGATCGATGGTACCGATAATGTCCAACTGATATTAAAACTCTTTAAGGTAAGATCAATAAACTCCTACTTTCAGAATATGTTAACATTTTGTCCCTATTTGAGTTATTTGGAATTTTTTAACTTAAAAGAAAAGTTATAAACATAATTTAAAAATGAGTTAGCTACATAAATGTAAGTTTAATTTGTTAATAAGTGATTAGAAATAGGCCTTATAATCCCTTATAATTCCTTTCTTTCTTTAAAAACCCGACTAAAAAAAGCTTAAACTTGTGAGTTTTTTTAAAACTCAACTCGACTCAACCTCAAAAATTACTAATCTAATTAAATTACTAATTAAAGATAAATATTACCCTCTACAATTGTTTAAATTAGCAATTTTTTATACAAAATGTACAAATTCCATACCCCCCAAACCCCCCCGGTCTATCCCATCATTCAAAACTATATCCCCCCCGAAATTAAATCCTGGGTACGCCACTGCCTAAGCCGTCAAATTTTTCACGGCTTAGGGAAATTCTGTACTGAAAAGTAAAAGTGGAATAGAGTATATTGTTGTGCAGTGACATAAAACAATACCTTTATAATTAATTGTTTAAAATTATTAATTAAATTTTAAAAATTGAGTGGGCTTATTTGTTTAATCCTTATAATTATAGAGAACTGATACCAGTTTCATTTAATAAAAATGCCTTACAAAGGAAGAATTTATCGAAAACGTGGCAAGCGTTCTAGATCTATGAAACTTTTCATAGCAAGACAAAGGGAAAAAACGTCAAATGCTCCTGATGAAACAAGTGAAGACATTTTTAATAGACTTCTAGAACAAACCAGGTAGGTCTGACAACTTCTGCTCTCATGCATTATAATATACTAGATAATTAACATAATTTTGACCATAGGTGTCATAACCAGTTATAAATTGTTGTTCAACATATTATAATGATAAAGAAGTACTTGTTTTCAATTGATCATTGCTGGATAACCTTTTTGCATTATGCCTATGAGCTCCAATTACTATATCCTATTTTCATAGATGGGAGTTTACTACGTCTAGAACAGGATACTAAACATTTATTGTTCTTAAAGTTTATAAATTGTTTGCAAAAACGGCCAAGCTTATATGTAACGCAAGATCGCTTTTCACACTTGGCCATTTTTGCAAACAATTTAGGATATATTATGCCACGATAATTGGTTGTAAAATGCACTTTTGGTTGTTTTTCGATCTTATGTTGTCAATTGATTATAAACAAATACATTAATTATTCTATATATTAATATATTGAATAATTGATATTGAATTAAAAATTTTAAAATGTGAACAGACGACGCTTAAGTTTTGTAGCAAACCAAGTGCAGCTGAAAAAAAAACCAACAGCTGATATATTGGTGATTGACATTTAAACTCTTTGCTTTATTTATGTTTACAAATAATAACACATTAGGCTATGCTTCAAAAATTTGTAATGCAGCCTACATGTGAGTCCCAACATTACTAAAACAGCTGGTTCCTTCAATATAAAATACCGTACAGATAAAAGAACAGCTGTCCAGCAAAAAATGATACTTGCCATGATATGACAAGGAGGGCCGTAAATGTGCCGTGTGTGTTATAAGGAGGGCCGTGTGTGTTATAAATGTGTTATAATATCACTGAATTATTTGTTTGTGACTTTACTCAAAACTACGGGTGGAAAAATATTTTGGGCTTATGGAAAACCCGTTTGATTTGGCCCTGCTTTAACATTACTGTATAATAGCAATAACATCAAATATTTGGGTACAAACAAATTACTAAAGAAAATATCTTCTCTTTTTTTAGGCATGAAACGCTTGCGGCTCAAGAAACAAATACACAAAGCTCAATGCTCAATGATTCAAATTCAATTTTAGAGCTTGCGGAACTTGAGACGAATGCAATCCCCAACCATAGTCGTAGTTGTCTAAAAGTCAGTAATTCAGATCCGAATTCACCTTTCAAGCTCAATGATGATCTTCAGATGACAGTTGAAGACAGAGATGAAGATGAAATGGTCGTTGACGACCCAGATTATTTCCCCCCTCTAACAGTGGAGAGATCATTTGACACGGAAAAGGTTTTATTAAAGGGAAGAAGAATTGTGGATATTGACCATTTTTCCTCACAAATGGAAATTATTGCATCCCATCCTAATAAATGCACTATGGGGAAATACAAATTAAAGAAAGAAATCTGTAATGGTCTGTACTCAACACTGGTGTACTACTGTGATAATTGCGAAAAAGAGTTTTCCGTAACAACTTCTCCAGCAAGTGATAAGGAAGACATAAACGATGCGTTGGCCTGGGCTGCAATGTCAGTTGGAATAGGATATTCTCAAGTTGAAGAACTCTTTAGTATCCTTGATTTAAAAATAATGGGACAACAAAAGTACCATAAACATGAACAAGCAGTTGGAAAAGTAAGTCTTTGTAAAATTAACACTTATCCTAAAGTTAATCCTACGGTTCATTAACTTGGTCCATTGTGTGGTTAAATTTCATGCAACTTTTTTATAACTTGGTTTGTTAAATTTCATACAAGATACGTATTTATATGAATTTGAAATGAATTGCCCTTTTACATTGTTTCAATTATCAACTTCAGACCACCCCGAACGTTTTTTGAAGTGAACTCTTCATTTTGACATGGTGTTCATTTCATGGTGTTGTGACCCATTAGTTCAAACTACATGTCGAATCCTATTACGATCACGAAAACTGTTTTGAAAATCTCTTTCCAATCTCAAGTTATGGCTAAACGATAAATTATTTTTCACTGTCCCTAAAGCAGCCGTTTTGGTGATTTTTTCGGTGAAATTACCATTTTTATTTTAAATTTCAAAAAGGTGATATCTCAGAAACGAAACAATATAATACAAAAACAATTGCGACGTTGACTTTAGCGTTGAAAAACAGTCTTAAATCACTCAAGTATATTCAAGTAGGCTACGCATAAGTATCTTTTATCGTTGGCTAATTCGTATTTTGTAATTTTTTAGGGGTGGGAAGATTGTTTATTACGAAAAATGCAAGAAAACGCAGAGGAAGAAAGGCGAATAGCTATCGAGAAAGGGGATTATCTGAACGGAATTCCCTTCATCACTGTGATTGGAGATGGAGGATGGGCCAAGAGATCTTATGGGCATGGGATGAATTCTTTAAGTGGAGTGGTAAGTACACTTTAATTGTTATGTTTATGTCGCACTTAAAGATTGCATATTTTTTGGGACAGATGGAGGGGTAAATTTCTAAATCCTACGCGCCAAGCACCGTGGTCTGACCGTGTACCTTGACTCCCCTGACTCCCGCCGACCATGCGGATCGATGGTATAAGGGTCGCCAAATGTGCGACTCGAATCGCTCGTGAAACCCGGATGTTGCGGGCGCTCTGCAGGGCCGCTGCGACCTCGCTGCGTGGTCGCGCGACAGGAGTGACAGGAGTCGCTCGTGTCGAGTCAATAAAGGTTTTATGTCGGAACAAATTAGAGAGAAGAATTAGAGAAATTAGAGTCGGAACAATTAATTAAAAAATTGTGTAAAAGCTACGTTTTAAAACTTTTTAAGAGATGGCTATGCTTTGCCTCACTCTAAAAAGCTTCCATATTGATTTTATCAAGTAAAAACTGCCGAGTGCAATATTGCATCACAGACCTTCATGGTGTAAACTGGTTTTAAAAAGAAAACACGCTTTTTACAGTTCAAAATAAACATTCTCTTCAGCTGATTTTCAGCAGACAGTTTTAGAAGCTTACAATTTTCGCCGCCCGCCTTTTTATTTGGCCGCTACTCTAAGAAATTCAATACTAATGATTTAATAACTCATATAATTTTATTGCAGGGAGTGATTGTTGGCGCAGAAACTCAAAAACTGCTGTATCTGGGCGTCCGGAACAAATTTTGTTTTGCCTGCGCAAATCCCAAGAAAAAGAAAGTGGATCATCTTTGCTTTAAGAACTATAACGGTCCTTCAACGGGGATGGAAACAAGTGTCATAGTAGAGGGGTTCAGAAGAAGCGAGGAAGACTATGGACTAATCTATCGTAACTATATTGGAGACGGTGATTCAAGTGTATTTGCCCGTATTCAGGAAGGGTGTTATTACGGCAGGTATGTGAAAAAAGTGGAATGCGCAAATCATGTTACTCGGGCACTCAACGACAACCTTCACAAATTGTCCGAAGACACTAAATATCCATTGGAAACTCGCAAGCTCCTTAGTAAGCCAGCGCCAAATGAAAGCATATCAAGGCTGGAACGCATGGTAAAAGGTGTCCGAACAGCGATAAAGGAAGCTGGCGTGACAAAAAGTTCGGAAGCGGTAAAAAATTTGCGCCACGATTTGCACAACGCTCCAGATCACGTTTTCGGCAAACATGACAAATGCCGCTCATTTTGCACACGAAAAACAATTGGCGAGGAAAATGTACTGCCCCAGATGGATGTAGACTTTTTGTGCAAAATAAGAGCACTTATTGGAAACCTAGAAAGTAAATGTGACAGCCTGGTTTTTGACCAAACGACAAACGTCGCTGAAAGGTACATGGGCTGCGTGGCAAAGTTTACAGGTGGCAAAAGAATAAACTTTTCAACAGGTGGATCTTTTCGTCAACGATGTTTTGGCGCTGGTCTCGCCCACAGTGCAGGACCAAGCTGGCACTTGAGTCCCTGGGAAAAACTGAAAAACCGCAGTCCAGGGCAGGTATTTAGAAAAAAAATCCTCTCACGGGAAAAAAGAAAAATTAAACGAAAAATGTTATTTTCAGGAAAGAAAAGTATGAAGAGAAAGAGGAATGGGAAAGACGGTTCCTACGACAAAGAATACGGCCCCCTAGCAGTAAAGGCAGATATAGAGGAGGTAGAAATGGTTGCCAAATCTAAAGCATTTCTGCAAAACTTGAGAAATGATATTAAAAATGGAAATGAAGAATGGGAAAGGAAAACTGTTGGGCAACGTAACAATGAGTTATGGTTCGAAAAAAGAATGAACAGACTAACTGCTTCAAAGTTCGGATTTGTGATTAAACGCCTACCGCATACACCTTGCCATAATCTTGTAAAATCCATCCTCTACTCAAGATCATTAACCTCAGAGGCCATAACTTTCGGAAGAGATCACGAAGACATAGCTATCAAACTTTATGAAAACTCAACAAACAACAGCGTAGAGCCTTGTGGATTGTTTATCGACGTGTCCAATCCTTTTCTTGGCGCCAGTCCGGATGGAATAGTTGGTGAAGAAGGCATCGTTGAAGTGAAGTGCTTAGCTTCCGTAAAGGAAGAAACTTTGTCAGAAGCGGTAAAAGCTAAGAAAAACATGTGTCTAGAGTTGTCAAAAGAAGGGGAAATCAAACTAAAGAAGAATCACAATTACTTTTACCAGATTCAAGGCCAGCTCGCAATTACAAGCCGCAACTGGTGCGACTTTATTGTCTACACAAAAAAGGGGGAGATTTTTGTGGAACGAATACAAAAGGACACAACATTTTGGACCAAAAATATGTTGCCGAAGTTGACCAGATTTTACCAGGACTGTTTGCTCCCAGAAATTTTGGATAGCAGAATTGTTAGAGAAATGAAATGTAGAGATCCAGTTTACATCCTAGAAGCACAAAAAAAACTCAAAAATGCAAAACAAGAAAAAGCTAAAAAATCATAGTTTTTAAAATCCGTGGTATCTAATTCAAAATTGGCCCATAAAATGTTCTCAAATTATTAAGAAACACATCAAAAAATGCTAACCAATAACTCTTTTAATTAACTCAATGATAAACATTAACAATTTTCAAACTTAATTAAAGTCTTGTATTTTTGATCATAATTTTTTCAGCTAAGTTTTTACAAAATTTCGCAAATTGGTCCATTTTCGCAAAGGTCGCCACTAATAAATCTTTGTATTAGCTTAGCTCAATGGAGGGTGATAATAATCTTCAGAGTTGAATAAACTCTCTTATTTATTTAGAAACATCATTGTATAATAAAATGTTATTTCCTGAAATATTTCTTATTTCATTTTATTTATATTGACCTTACCTGTAAAGATTGCGTGCAATTATTTTTTTAAGCAGCGTTTACTCTACAAACCAGAAACAATACTTTGTCTGAATATTAATAATTAGAATCCAGATTCACATTTACAGTATCTGCGTTTTATGATAAAACGCAAAAGAATGAAGCTGCATTCCAGAAACTCACACAATTTTATCCTATTTTTATTTCAATATAAATTTGAATGTAATATCATATAATCAAATAAAGCATATTACTGGAATTTTAATTTGTTGAGTGAAATAATGCGATGTTTGACAAAAGCAAGATAAGTAGGTCAGTCCGGTAAATGACCATTGAACTATTATGGTTTGTTACAAATTTTTGGTCGTTGATAAAGTAGAGAGTGCAACGAATGAATTATGTCTTAAAGCCATTTATATTACAATCACTCAGTTCTAAAATAGACCTCTTCCTTTGATTTCGATTAACCGTAGGATATTTAACAATGTAACTTTACCAATGGTAAAAAAATATAGTTAATTATTATTAATATATGAAAAATCCAGTTGTTTCTTTACAAATTACGATCTTACTGTTCTGTACAAAGATCACGATAAAGGTTATCTGGTAAGTGGACATGGCCAGACTCTACCGATGACCACAGCGCAGGTCAGGGGCCAGGACATTGGGATGTACGGCGAACCTAACAGCCACCAGCCGCCGAAACAGAGCAAGCTCGGACGACAGTCGGACAGTCGAGGGTTGGGGCGGTAAGGGGGAGGCAGAGAACCGGGGGAGGGGAAGCGGCCAAATGCGCCCCTCCACTTTGCTGTCGTACGCATCGCTCCGAACGCCGACGGTGCTGCTGCCTGGGCGGATTTTGTTTACTACAGAGCTCACTGCACCACCTTAAATATCAAGTATTTTACCGAATAAATTAAAGATCGCAAGGGTTATACAAACTTTTAAGAAAGGTGACTTAAATGACCAATTGTGTTATCGTCCGGTATCGCTTCTCCCAATTTTTTTTTTAATTTACGAGAAAGTAGTTTATTCTCAATTAGTAGGTTATTTAACCATAAACAATTTGTTGGATAAAGAGCAGCACGGTTCTTAAAAAGGAAAATCCACCATATCAGCTGGTATAGAATTCATTCAATCACTATCACTTCATTAAGCACTTTCTCTCAGATCACAATGCACTGATTGCATCACTTCCTAGAAGTTATAAAGATCTAAGTCCTTCTAGCATTTTAAAAAGACACTTTTCACAGGAAAACTCAGAGCTTTTCTTAGTTTTACTTAACCAAAAACTTGAGAGCTTTGATACTTTAAACTCATCTAATAGCAGTTTTGATTGGTTTTTAAATTTATTTGTAATGACTATGAATGAATGTTTTCCATTAAAATTGTCAAAAGTTAGGAAACCAACAAAATCTTTTTGGATAAATGATGAAATTAAAATGTTAGCTGAAAAGAAGAAACACCTGTATAGAAAAGCAAAGGAATCTAATTGTGAAAATGCTAAGTTAGAATATAAAAACTGTAGAAAAAACCTCAATGTTCTTATAAAACTAAGTAAGCAAGAATAAGAATAAGAATAAGAAATATTTATTTCCATTGATCTTTATAAAAGAAATAGGACACGTCATTGTTATACATAGTTACAAGGTGATTCAGTGTTTACAGTACAAAATATCTAAATTTAAATAGCCACTTACATGAAAATAAAAGCTTTATTTCAACTTACTCTTCAAAATCTAATATTTATTTCACAACTTAAAAACTCATCAATTTTGTAAAAGGGATTTTTAACAATCCAGTCATACAGTTTATTTTTAAAAATACTGTAAGAAACTAATTTTGCTTCTTCAGGCAGCTTATTAAAAAACATTATACAATTTAATTTATGTGAATGTTTGGTTTTTGCTAATCTGTGCTGCAATATATCTATTTTATCCCTACCTCTTGTATAGTGATTGTGTACGTCTTTTCGGAAAGAGAATTGATCTAAGTTTGACTTTGTATATATTAGAATTTGGAATATATAAAGATTTACTATGGTTGGTATCCTGAAATTAATGAAAAGAGGTTTACAATGTGTATCTGAGCATTCTCCAGCAATGCTTCGAACCGCCTTTTTCTGGAGTAAAAGGATGTCATTAATATGTGGAGAGTGGCCCCACAAAATAAGACCATATAGTATGTGCGATTGAAAGAGTCCAAAATACGCCAATCTTAAATATTCTTGACTAACAAAATCCTTAAGTTTCCACAGCAAGCACCTCACTCTTGAAATTTTGTTACAAACAGATTTTATGTGTGATGACCAATTTAATTTTGAATCCAAATTAAATCCTAAAAGTTTAACTGATTCAAATTTTACCTCTGTTTTAAGACTGATTGTTATA